AATAGTGATAAAACAAGAAGGGGAGTGTGTGAGTTTTTCTTCCTGTTAGTGATGGAACAAAGAGCAGAGTGTCCTTCGGGAATGAGGGAGTCCCAGGATGCAGCCTCTGAGGAGAAGATAACGAGACACCTGGACCATTAGAGCTGTTAATTAAGTCAGCAGCAGGGATGCTCTAAACTTCTGAACTGTGAGAAAGAGTGCGCAGGCTTCATAGGCCGATGAATATTGACTTCTCCACTCTGGGCAGCGTAAAGTTGAAGTTAATGAGACGTGGGATGTGTGTTGTGCAGGGAGAACATGGAACAGGGAAGTCTGAGCCTCCTGAGTGCCTCAGACAATGGGGAGAGGGAGAGGGTTTCACCGGCTGGGAAATCAGGATAAAAGGGGGCTGCGTCCTCCGGCAATTGGAGAGACCTCACTGGGCCTTGGCAACCCCGGTGAGCTCTCCCTTTATCCGAATAAAGTTAAGACTCCTCTGTCTTCTTTGTGAACGCTGACCTCTGGCAACAGGATTTTCCATACAAAACCATAGGTATGGGTGAATGTTTAAGTTATAGTGACGTTGTTTCACTTCAGGTTAATGACACTGCACAGGTCTCCTAAAGAAGCTCTACTGTCCACCATGTCATTTCAATAGCTTTGCAGTATAAGTATGTTACTTTGTATAAATGTCTGCCTTGCTAGCAACTGTACCCTGGAAGAAGAACCAAAAAGGACAGATAAAAAGGGAACATTCTACTCCAGAGAGTGCTGAGGGAGCTGAGGAATTGCTGAAGGACTTGAAGTTGGCCAAAGGTAAAAGCAGGAGGGGGAGATCGAGCCCTCCAACTCAAGTCAAACAGAATTTCACACACCCCCACCTATAAGGAGCATGTGTGCTAATTTACGTGGAAAGCGAGGCTAATTTAAATAGAGGGGACAGTAATCACTGACTGGTACTTTTAAATCTAGGCGTGTTTACACTAATTAAGTAACAACAGAAATGTGTTGTAATTCCTCGCCAGGGCATGCTGACTTTGTGGAATCACTACCCAGCACGCAGCCCTGTGCAGAAATGAAGTAAGCTGCGGTATCGCATCTCAGAGTGTGCGACTGGCTTACTGCGCGCCAGGAAATAAGCTCAGTCTTGAGACAACCCTGTTGAGGGGCCAGGAGAGAAGCCCTGGGGTCAGCCGCATGGCAACTCGGCTTCTGTGAGACCCCCAACCCCTGGCCCGCCCAGGCAGCCGGAGCAGGTCCAGGGCTCGACTCCAAAATGCATGTGTGAGGGCCGGGTGCATTCTCTGGGGAAACAGGGCAGAGTCCAAGGGCCTCCTGGCTGTGCCCCGGGCCAGGCTCATCCCTGTCAGGGACATGTCGGGACTCTCGCTGCTCTCTGGGGCGCTGGCAAAGGTCCCCGTCCCACTTTGCTTTCTGAGTAGGTTTTGCGGCTAAAGGTGCCGCTTTTGTGTAATATGCAAAAAAAATATCTTTCAAGTTCCTCACGCTCGGAGTATCTGCCCCAGCCTGGGCTTAAACTTGTTGCCTGGAGGAGTTTGTGCCCCAGAAGTTAATGGAAGAAAAGGCCAAAAAATGGCTTTAATGTTTAATCACGTAACATCCAACGAATGCCCGCGTGGCACAGGTTAGCTTTGCTTAAATTTGCTGCAAGAAACATGCTGCCTGCAGTCCTGTCCACCTCAAAATCCTCAGCTATGGCAGAGTCTGTAAGCCACAGCGAGAGCGTTTCAATTTGCCATAAAGGGTCAGACTCTAAAATCAACACGATACTAAATGCTGTGAGACACGATTAGCCAGGACCCTCTGCAAGTGAGTCCGGAGAAATTGTCTGCACCTTTCCCAGCACCTTTCCTGCTGCTCCCAGTCCTGCTCCCGCGTGACGCAGTGAGGCATCCACCGTCGGTGGGAGCTCATCACAACTAGAGTGTTGTTCTCTGCCACCTTTGCCAGGACCTGAAAACCTTTTGTCGCCATACGGCTAATACCTAACACCCCAGGACGGCATTCAGGCTGGGTATAAATAGATGTACCTCTGCTACTCAGGGATGTGCTATTAGCACTTCGCTAATCATGCTGCTACAATTCTGCTTGTGCCCGGTTAAGGATTTTAGAGAGAGTTCTATGATATCTGGGGATTTCTAGAGAATCTGAAGATCTGCAGAATGTTTCACTTGAGGGTAGCTGTATGTTATGGAGTGTATGCAAGTGTATTCTTACTGAATGTAAGAAAAGGGCTACTGGACAGGCAGGAGGAGTTGTCATAAAATATCAGGATCTGCTGTTCTGGGACACAGTGTTGTCCTCTGCCTCGTGGCTGGCACACTGACGTGACACCGGTATCTCTGCAGCTTGGGGACCGGGTGCCTGTGTAAGTCTGTGCACTTCATGTCCCAGCATCTAAGAATAAAATCAGTGGAAGCTGGCTCCACGACAGGCATCCGAGCCTTCATTTCTCAGGACCTTCATAAGAAGAGAAAAGAAAAAGTATTTCAGACTGTCTCTGCCAGCCCGAGCGTGGATTTGCCATGGCTGCCTCCCTGCGTTACGTGCACGTCCTCGCAGACTGTCTCTATCACGGAGGACTTGTGGGTGCTTTCTGCTTCTGGGCTTTCCTCAGAGGCCCTCAGCTGCCTCCTGAACCGAGAAAAGACCGTCCTCAGGGAGGAATATAGCTCCTTGCTCCGCAGGGCATAAATAATGGGGTTCACCATGGAATTGAGCAGGCAGAGGGTGCTGCAGAAGGCAAACACCTTGCGCAGGTGATTGCTCAGCCTGGAAAAGATGCTGTAGATCATGAGAACGAGGACTGGAGACCAGCACAGCACGAGGACAGTCAGCACCATGGCGAGGGTCTTGGCCAGCATGACATCCATCCTCATCCTGGCGTTCTGCTTTCCCACCTGCGCTTGGTGCTTCTCCATGTAGGCCACGTGCTGGTGAGCCCTCCACAGCACGTGCGCGTAGGCGTAGATGATGCACCCCAGCAGAACCACGACGAAACAGATCCAGCTCGACAGGTAGTTGTCGTCCACAAACGGGAACAGCTCGGAGCAGGTCGAATCAAGCGTGCAGCAGTTCCAGCCCAGGAGAGGCAGGGAAGCAATGGTCGCACACGTCACCCAGAGCAACCCTAAGGCTACCCATGCTCTCTTTCTCGTCATGAGGAGCTTGTATTCGGAGGGTCGGTTGATGGAGATGTAACGGTCCAGGGCGGTCAGCAGCAAGCTGCTCAGGGAGGCAGAGAAGGACGTGTTCACCCCTCCCAGCTGCAGCAGGTATGTTTCTTTAGAGAAATCTGTTTGATTGAAGACATGGAAGTTGACAAAACTGCAGACAAAAATGATGCTGGCCAGGATGTCAGCCAAGGCCAGGCTGCTGATGAAGAGGTAGGAAGGCTTTCTCCTGGTGCCAGGGGAGGAGAAGATCAAGTACAGCACCAAACTGTTCTCGAAAACGCACAGTGTCCCGAAGAGCCCGCACAGCGTGGCAATGCTTATCTTCTGTGCTTGTGTTCTCAGGACCATGAAGCACTCTGTGGTGTTCACGCTGCATTTGGAGGCATTTTCATGTATCTTACAGATATCCATTGTAATTAACTGGAGCCAGGAGCTTGCAGAGAGTGTTTTGCTTGCTTCTGTACTTCTTCAGAAGCTCTGAAAAAGATCAAGGGGAAGGGGACTTACAGGAGCACAACAAGCAATAAATTCAACTCACTCAGACTCATCCCTCCCTTTAGAGGGAGGCAAGAAAAAGGAAAATAGCTCAGGGACACCTGCTTTCAGGTCCACAGCCCAAATGCTGGAGCCAACACCCACTCTTTACCACCAAACACCCACTCTTGCCCAGCAGAGATCCAGGTTTATCCCACTGATGATTTGGCTAAGACCCATCTATCACAGCCCATGGGTACAACGTCCGAACCACGTCTGTCTCTTGGGCTGTTTCCTCACCATGAGAGGGAGGCAGCAACGCTGAGAATTGTACAAACCCTGGCCCAGCTCTTTACCAGTCCTCCAGGATTCACTGCTCAGGGCAAGCAGCTGTGGAGGGAGCTCCTCATGGTGTCACTATGTGGTGGCCGGAGACAGGTCCTGGAGAACAGCCTGTCGGGGTGAGATGGCTGGGATGGAGAAGGACGAGGGATGCTGCACAGCTGGAGTCACGATGCGGCTCATCTGGGAACACAAAGTGCACTTTGAAGCATTTACTCTTCACCAGAGCTGTTTGAACACAGAAAATGACAAGACTGGTTTTATGTTTAAGCTTGCCCATTGCAGTTTCGTAAAGCTCAGGCTCATTAAAGTTGTGTTTCTCCCCCCATAATCCCCGTGTCATGAGTTAGTCTGCCCTGTGGTCAGTAATCAATATTAGAGTGCAGGCTGGACATAAAAATGGGGACATGCAGGAGTTAGACTACCTAAGAACTCCTGTCTATGTCCAGGATTAGGTTAATTTTATCAATTTATAGCTTCAGCAGAGATGTGATATGAGGAAATGCCTTATTTTCCCCTAGGCAGATGTTGAGCTGCTCGGCATGTTCTGTAGCAGCAAAGTCGTGTTTTTCTCTACACTTCTGCAGCTTAATGCCTTTAAATGCCTTCATCTTCATTACACTGATGAGCCTGTCCTTCAGATGTTCTTTTTCTCCCATTCTTGCTCTTGATTACACTTGTGCTTTAAAGCAAATGCACTTTCAGCGAGGGCTCGGCTGCCTTGTGCTGCCTCAGGTAACGCCAGGAACAAGGTCATCCTGGACCAGGTTGTGGAGAACAGATGAAGAGGCGGGTGTTGGATACACTAAAGCTGCCTTACGAGCAGCGAGACGCTGTGTCCTGAGAGCCGCGCACCGGCAGGTCCTACCTCCTGGCTACAAAAGCCTGTGGGACACGACCTCCCTTCCCCAAAGCATCCGCCTGACTTCCAGCATCCAACATCCCACATCCGGGCCATGGAACTGTGAGTTCCCGCTGCTGGAGGAAAGCACTGGACTGACAGTGTTCCCTTTCCCCAGAACAAACAAGCCACAGCCTCTCCTATCCCTCAGCTTTCTTTTGAAAGAGGAAATGTCCAAAACACGTGAGCCACAGCAGATGGGACGTGTGACAGCTACAGCTACCTGGGGAGCGGAGGCGCTGCTGGGTTCCAGGCACCCGAAGCCAACCATCTGCGGTTTCCCTGTCAGTTTTTCAAAACTCAGTGAGTCTTTAGAGTGACTGACATGCTAGAAACCTCTGTCTGCAACATCTCAGAGGCGACATGTATCTTACACCTGTCTCCGTTACTTCCTTCCCCACCGATTCCTGTGTCCCCTGACACTCATTGCTATCTCTGTGTTTTGCAGTAGTTGCAAAATACTTCTGAGTGCTTGAGATGCTGTCCAGGAGGTCACAGGGAAGAGTCCAAGCCCCACACTTTGCTCTCGCCTGCGTGTCAGGGCTCAAACATCAGCAGTTGCAGGGCATTCGGTGCATATTGCAGCCAGAGCAGTTCAACCCTGATTTGCATTTTTTGGCGTATCACATGGAGGAGTCCTGGACTTTGGGCTGAAATGTGGCTCAGCGTTGCAGCAAGCCTCGCGCCTCTTACATCAGGCTCTGGCATGGGGTAATCATGCAGGACCACAGATGCTGCACTCTAATCTCAGTGCTCTTGTTTCCTGCAGCTCTTCACAGAAACGCTCCAAGTGCAGCAGCAATCCCTAACTGCTGTTATTAAACCTGACAACATCTCTCTCTCCAGAGAGAGGTGGATTTAGCAGACAGATGGACTCTGACATATCTCAGTGGCCACTGGGGCAGCAACAGCCTTCTTGAGTATCCAAAACTCCCCAGCGAAAACTCCAGCATCCAAACCAAGACATCTCTTAATTAAGCAGACTCCAGCATCAACTTGACATCTCTTAATTGCAGCCAGCATTCCCAGGACCATCTTAAATTCTTAGTATCTGCAGTTCTGCAATATCCAACCAACGCTTAGGAGCTTGGGAAGTGTACTGAACACTAGGCAAGAGACTGGAGGCCAGCAAAAGGTTACCTCTCACAATATGTTGCTTGGGGAGAGTGTTTGGTTATAATGGCAAAATAACTCCTGCACTCACTGTTCTGGTACAGCTCTCTCCATTAAGCTGACATAATTGAGATAAGCCCTCAGGTTCAAAATACTGCGCTGGACTCGTAGCAATCAGCCAGCCCAGACCTTCTCTTCCCACATCTGTTCTGTCTCAAGCTGAATTACAAGGATGAATCCCCAAACCCTCTTTCCAGCTCCTGTGTCTGTGAGGGAAACCAGGGGGCTTTGCTTCAGCACGAGGTCTCTTCTGCAGAGCCTCCAGAGCGAGGAAACAGTCAGTGCCAAGAGCCCCTCTCCTTGCACTGCCTGTTCCTTTTTTTGTTGTTGTTTTGGCCATAAAGTTGTTTTTTTTTCCCTGCCCAGGGGACATATTTCTCTTGTCAGATGGGCTCCTGGATTCAACCATTTGTTTGTTCGTGCCCACTGCCTCCTGCGTGCTTTTCTCCTGGGAAACAAGCCAGCCTGTATCTGGATCCTGGGGGGGAGCTGATCTGTGACATCCTCCATGGGGCAAATTTCACTTCCAGAGTGGAAACCCCCTCCCGAGGGGCAGCAGCTCCACCTCCCCGCAAAGTACAGCCCTGGGCACGGCTGTGCATCCCCACCACAACAGCCTTACATGCCCAGAGAGTCTCTGCCCTTTCAGTTCAGCAAGAAAGAGTGAAGAGGCTTCTCACCCTCCTTTAGAGCCAGGAGGCTGCAGCACAGAGGGAGGGGGTCCCCAGGAGATGCAGGGGCCAAGCGGGGATTTCCTGGCCCTCTGCACCGCATCAGCTCCCCTCTGAGCACAGTAAGGTGTCTCCTGCCGGCGGGATCTCCCAGGGTGGGGAATGTTCTGCCAAGACAAAGCAAGGGAAACCCTGTCTCTTGTGACGGAGAAAGAGTAAATGGAGGCAACGCACTGAAGAAACGAGAAGCCCAGCTGTGAGGAACGCAACGCAAATAAGACGTTTGGAAACGCAGTATATTTGTAGCCTTGCTGACTGCAAAGGCCACCCAGAAGCAGCAGAGAAGCTTTCCCCTGTTAGATCTGATTTTGAGCCCACTCCCTCCAGCCTAATAACTCTACTGACTTCAGTGGAAATTAAACCTACAAGTGAAAACTCCTTTTCCATTTCAGCGCGTTACTGCAATTGATTTCAGCTGTCAGACTGACACTGCCTTGCACGCGGCGTGGTTTCTGACATCACTTGGGATGATTTCTTCATTTACAGAGACATCTCAGAATCCTTGTGATTAATAAGTTAACATACTGGTTGCTTAGATAACATAAAATTAAATTTTCCTGCTGCAATCAGCCAGTGCAACGTGCCTGCAGCATTCTGAAAGTGCTAGTCTTAAATATTTCATCAACAGAATTTCTAAGACATTTGATTTTTACAATAAAATAAAATTTCTTAAATGATCACCTAACACGAACAAGCGAAGTGATTTATGCAGAAATTGTCATTAATGTTTGGACATTTCACTTGCTGAAAAAGCAAAGTATATTTTGCTTTACAAATATTTCAGTTTGTTTATGATTTCTTGTTTTCTCTGCAGGAGAAGTTTAGCCATTATTTTGGAAACTGCCGATCTTCCCACTTTGTCCCCCTGACCATATTAAATATCGTTGAGCAGAGTTACCTCCCTGATGTAAGAACTGCCTGGCACAAATGCCTCACTGAAGATTACATGTTTGATTTCTACTCAGAGTCCAGTTCTGTCCATGTGTCACTGCAGCCGTGTGTGGGTGTGGAGCAGCGCTGCGAGTGCCAGTTTGGGTGCAAAGTGTGGCAGAACAGGGCTTCTCGCCCTCCACCAGAAACACCACACATGGAGTCATAATAAAGATTAACTTGTGCAGAAGGCTCAGCCTGAGAGCTCAGGATCATATTCATGCTTGTGAGACACTTGGAAACACCTCTGACATAACCAACATCAGTATTTCCTAAAACCAGCTGTCAAGAGTTAGTGCCCAGTCTGCTATTCAAACACTTACCTTTGACGTTCTCATTAAGAAAGCATTCATCCTAAACCCCAGTTTTCCCACCCTTTGTTACACCTTCCATTGCAGTTTATCCCCCAAGACAAATCCAGAGCCGCGGAGGCTCCCCAGGCTGCCCAGGTGTGTTTTAGCACTGTGGGCTCAAAGCTACGATGTGTTTTATCATGAGAAAAAGGACCCTTGGCTGCAGGATCTCCCGGGGATTAGCAAACGCAAACCACTCACCTCCTCTCGCTGGTGCTCGTGTGGTGGGCTGGGAGTGCTTGGGGGCTTCCCACTCCTCCAGCTCTCAGGGCAGTTTGTGCAGCTGCAGACAACGGCGCCTGCTTCCCTTTCACATCACTTCTGCTTTCATCTGGGTGTCTCGTATCATTCTGGTTTATTCCCCTGGGCTGGAAATCCATCAGCGAAAATCTTTCCTCTGGTTTCTTGCTCTCTTTTCTATTCTTTCAGTGAATGTGTGTCAGGTTTTCTTTCCATTCCCACTTCCTCCCTGGGTTGTCTGTTCTGCTTCTGGCTGCTAGTGCCACA